GAGATAGATAGATAGATAGATAGATAGATAGATAGATAGATAGATAGATAGATAGATAGATAGATAGATAGATAGATAGATAGATAGATAGATAGATACAACCTATCCTGCCAGGACCATTGAAGTGGAATGATAATGATTTACACTATCCTATCAGAAAAACTTAGATAACGTACTGGACTAAAACTATAATTTCCCTTCGTAAGATTCGAAGAAGTGTCTTTTAAGTACAATGGCGCAGAATCTCTTTTTATCCACCAAAGAAAGCAATTTGCGTGAATACCAAAATCGTAATATCTACTAAAATTGAATACTCTCAAAATCAATTACATAGCTAAGAGTTCATGCACATATAATTTGACATCGCCAATTATAAATTATTGCTGAATGTGAACCGCTCTCTTTCCCACCCCAAACCCCTTTTTTTTCTTTTTTCTTTTTTTTTTTAAATTCCTTTACCAGCATGCTTTGAGCGACAAGGCAGACAAGAAAGTTTTCGAACCCCTCCACATGTGTAAACAAGAGTGTATCATCACCACCTTCCAAGACGTCTACTTCTACACAGACAGTTTTGAAGAAGCCAAAGAGAAAATGAGGTAGGCTACGTCACTACAGGAAAGGGCCATAAGCAAAATTGGGCCATGTCGTAACATGGACATCGTAGGGATGATATAATCAATTTTCAAATCTCGTTTACTCATATTATGACTTCAATTCTGTTTGACTGTTGGTTTATCATTTTTGTCCGTGAAATGGGAAATTGAATAAAAATAATAAACTAACAGAACAGACATGAAGTTTTAATCGATAAACTTAAAATTTGTATTTCCCTGCGATTTTCGTTTTGTGAAAAAGCCCATTTTTCACGTGGCCTCGTCCCACTAGTTAACACTAGACTACATTTATTATTTACGGCGGTTGGAAGGTACCATCAGGGGCAAAGGCTGACTTGTTTGACAGGGTAATCAAAGTGAGATGGGACCAGATAGGGAGATATCACACTCACACAAGTCACAAGAATCTTACTGGAGGCGGCAACTCTGAGCTGCGAATGAAAACAAATCTTGAATGCATGTTGTATGCATATTCAACCGCTAAAATAATCGGGAAAGTATTTCACTAAATATTTATTCTAACTAACCTTGAATTTAACTTTAGATTTGAATACAAGAACACCAATGAAAGAAGCAGAGATGTCAGTACTACTACAATGGCATGTTATACCAGACAGTCAAAACACTTTGGTAGAGCATGCCAATTATTAGTTTTTTATATTACATTTGGCTGTTTTTGTCTAGCTTTTCGCGGCCAGGAGCCGGTGTCATAATCGAGGTCACGATCTGATTATTGGACGTTAAAAAGTCGAGGATAAAAAACAAGCGCTCGCAGCAGTCAAGATATTATTAGGAGTTAGTTCCCCTCACATCTGTGAGGTAGACTCTACCAGTGTAATAGCTAGCTTACATAATCAGCGCGTGTGGCTGCTTATAACTGTGGCTCGGAAGGGGTGAACAGGGTATATGTGGCAATGAAACAGTTTTGACTGCTATGCACATGTTCCCTTCAACTCTATTGGTAGACTCTTCCAGCCTCACTTTAAAATTACTTAATCAAAGTTTGTGACTGCTTATGGAGTGGCCCGATAGGAGCAAACAGGCTATTTCTGCGGCTATGAAACGGTTTTGAAGGTTAGGCATAGTCCATTGTTCATTGGTGATTATGAACGTCTTTTTACATTTAATTTATGAGGTTTACGTCTATGGGTGAATTTGACCTCGGCAATGTTTCAAAATTAGGAAGGGAAGCAGTGATTATTTGATTATATAGACGCTTCGCCACTGGGTACCATTCCCTCTAATGTCTCGGTCTGTCTATCTTGTAGGTTTTCTTTTCCCCGTACTAGGTAACCGTTACTGCGTCAACGTACTTCTCTTCACTCAAAAAGCAAACAAACAAAATAATAAACAAACAAACAAACAAACAAACAAACGTCCTAGTAGACATTATGTAGGTCATCCCTAAGGCGGGACGCTGTGTCTCCTACAAGAATAATTATAGCCCTTAAAGGAAATAATATTATTTCAGTGAACGTAATATCTATTTTTATGCCCCTATCAATTCACTTTAGATCATTTTGGAGGCTGGCTTCGCTGCTGCCTTTCAGGGCCTTAACGGGCTGAGAGGGATGCTACGTCCAGCAGAACGACAGAAATCTTCCAAGGACAAAAAGATGCAATATTATTTATTAAGGATGCAGTGAAGTTCCAAAGTCAATATCGACTTAATCATGCGGGAATTGGACTCAAGTTCGTTGCTTGCAGCTGTGAAAAGCTTAATAATGAAACGGCCCGCCTCCTAAATAATTACATTGTGTTGATAGGGGGTTAAAGCGTGTACACCTGCTAATCTCAAGCACCCCAGTCCGCCTTACTTTTCAACTTCTCCAATCCTTGTTTTAACCAGCATTAGCTCCACTGGTTAGGCTCTTCACTGTTGCACGCAGAAGACGTTAGTTTGATTGCTAAGTGGAGACGTTTTCTATCGTGTGTTTAGGTCTGTCTGCTTGGATTTTGCTTCCTAGTCAGCCTGGTTTGGGCCCTTTCAGACAAGGTTGGAACATTGTATCCTTCCTAGCTCGGGCTGGCCTGCCCTAGTTGCTATAAGTTGTGTCGAGCTAGTCGTAAAACTCCTACAAATACAAAATGTATCAAAGCATCATCCTCTTCCTTCTTACACCTCTCTAAATTATTATATTTCTTGTGTAAATGACGACGTTAATCACCAACAACTACTTTTTTTTCTCTTTTCTTTCTACTTTTTTGAAAAAAACCCAAAAAACAGGCAATTCGCCAGCACCATCAAGCGTCCCTTCGCCGTCCGCTACAACCCGTACACGGAGTCTGTGGACGTGTTAGACAGCACTCGCTGTATCGCCACCGTGGTCAGCGAACTCAAGGGGGACCTCTGCATCGTCAGCGACGCCCTCAAGCGGTTACAGATCATGGAGAGATTTAAGTTCCAGGACTGAACTCGACAAGTGGTCTTCTCACAGGCTTAAAACGCCACAGCATTGGGACTCAGCTGTGGTGGGCGCTAATCGATATCAGTACTCAGAGCTTATTATTTAGAGCGACTTCCTTAGTGGGTGCAGACAAAGATCGTTAATAAAACACAATCTTTGGTACTAAGATATTTTCGTCGCTTTGTCGATACTAATCCTTTCCTAAGACCGTACATTTACAAGATAGTTCATTCAGCCAAAAAAATTCAGATGGCGCTGCAAGTCTCTATTTTGAAGGTCACTTTCGTTTCTCCAGAAGAAGAACAGGAATAACACTCCCTTGCGCATCAGCTGGCGCTTTTTTGAAGAGGGCACCACCGGATGTGAGGGCACTTTTTTAATTTGCTCAAAGAGAGGAGTGAACAATCTTGTTATGTGTTACTCCAGTTTTGTAGTGTTTAGAAAGTCTAGACTGTTGTCTGAAGCCCATTATTTCGTCATTTATCGCAGTTGTATCAAAAAGTCTACATAACAAGAGGGTCCAATCATCTCTTTGAGCCAATTGAAAAAGTGTCCTCAAAATTCGGTGGCGCCCTCTTCACAAATGCGCACCCTTTTCGAACAGAGTTACCCTACTTGTGTTTTAAAAAATCAAAGTGAAACTAACAAGTTTTTGAATAAATAAGAATTCAAATTTCGGAAGAACGCCTTACGAAAAACCTGTTCCAGAGGAAGGGGTGACTGTTTTCTTCGTTTAATTTGACTTTAGAATGAAAGGCGAGAGGTCATTTTAAAAATTTTAAAACCCAAACTCCGCACTGAACGAACCCGGACAGCTGATTAACAGCAGTCGATCTGCGCACGCAAGGGGGTGCTATTCATATTCTTCTTCTGGAGAAACGAAATAGAGCTTCAAAACAGACTGCAGAGCCATCTGAAGCAAAGACCGGACTTCCGGCAGACACTTTTTTGGCTGAGTGGACCATCTTGTTATGTGCTATCTTTGGTTGTATCTAATGCCCCTGCGTCGCCTCTTCTCTTGCATACAAAATGTCTGGTCTCAGAAAAAAAAAGCCTATTGTAGATTGTTTTATGAGAAGAGGGTCGATGGCAAGTTTGCACAGAGTAAATTATGCATCGTAGCCTTCATTAAGAATTTTGTGTTACGTCCCTTGGCTGAATGCTTGTAAGTACGCATAAATACTGGTTTTTCTAAGCCGATAGAGCACTTGAAATTGGCCAGTATCGATTAGTGCTCACCACCAGGACAAGGACAAAATGAGCTTAATTTTTTGTGACTACAGGCGCCGTTTTCGGATTATGTGTTGGCTTTTCACTGAACGAAAACACTATCTGTCTATTTTTATGAAATGGGGGAGAGATGATGTAATAATGGATGGCTGCACCCACCAATGCTGGATTAAGATAATGGGGCTCTACTTTTGGTAGCCGTAATTGTTTGGCGTTAGGAAAAAAAGAGAACTAAAAACCGCTTTTTCAGACAGCTCAAACCGCCATATTGGGTTATATGTGGGATTTACCTTGTGGGATTTTTCATCGTTTAGTGGGACCAACGCTGTTAACCCCATCACTGCTTGCTCCAATACTGTCTTGGGCTATTTGGTAGGAATGTAGAGCAGGTCGGGTACTGAAAGGGTTAAAGTTAAACTGTTGATAAAACCCACCTCAGCGCCATGTAGGGAGTAACAGTTCAGAAAGTGTGAAAACCAATCCCCCGCACATTACTGTAATAGTAACTAATTTACAAGAATACCCCCTTCCCCCCCCCTCCCCCCACTCACACACACACACACACACACACACACACACACACACACACACACACACACACACACACACACACACACACACACACACAAACCCCTTAATTGCGAAATTGTTAACAATATTCAACATGCCTTTCAACACTGTACTGTAAAGTTATATTACAAGAAGCAGAACCTACAAATTTAATGTCCATCTCCGGGAGAACCTAGCCAAAAGAATGGACAGCCTTAACTCCACAAAACTACCCAAATTCGGAAAGTCCCGTTGGGGATTCGAACCACGGCCATCAGTCCGTAGTCCAGCATGACATCGATTGATCTAACAGCGTGCCCACACCCCTTAGTTTCACATGAACATAAATATAATATGAATGCATGATGACATGAGCATTATTTACCGTTCGTTTGTTTGTTAGTTTAAGCAGAGAGAAGCACATAGATACAGACAGACAGACAGACAGACATAAGCAAAAGAGGGAACGAACGGAAGTACCTGTACGTGTATCAGTATTATCTACCAGTGATATCCTACAACCATCCACGAATACTTCTTACGTCGACACCACTGAAATTGTTACGGTGTAGATCTAGTAACATAAGTGTATTGCGTAAACACATGGACATAATGTATTGCCTCTCTACTCCTTACAGAATCAGGGGAGTGGGGCATGCGTCGTCTGAGACAAGTATTTATAAGGCAGATTAGCAGCCACACATTATTTGTGACGGGTTCTCCGCCCGAGCGTCGTTTTATGACCAGTCAGTTCTCCCACCTCTGAAACCAATATGGCGGATTTGCAGCCTAAATGCAGCCATAATTTTTGTGTGACGTAATTGCGACAAAAATACTTTATTTTAACAAATTTAAAAGGCACTGCACAGCCATTCCATTCTGTGTCCTATGATCAGTCCCCCCCCCCCTTCCCCCCAACCAAAAAAGGGAAAAAAGAAACACACCATCCTTCGGGCTATCTCTTCGTTAACGTCTTGAAGAGGTCAAGGTCAAAGCTGTCAGCTTGCTGGTTCAACTCTTTCACGGCCTGGCCTGGCGCTGAGTGACTTTTGAGAGGGATCGCAACAAAACAGGCGCTACTGCGATTTAGATCATGTATTATGGTTACTTTAGAATGATGCACTTCTTTAATAAAACAAGATGAAGTAGATCAAACGTGTAGACAGAGTTGTAGAAATATGAATAGTTCACAGACGTGTCATTTGTCGCCTCCATGTTTTGTTAGAATTCGCCAAGAGATTCTCACGCTTTCGTGAGAAGGCAAATATCGCTGGATGTGATTGGTCCGTGAAATCTTCATAGCTACTTCAGTCTTGGATTGATTTTAACGACCAAAGAAAATAATATCAATGTATACTGAATCGACTGTTTAGTTCTTGATAATAAAAGATTTTAACACATGACTATTTTGAATCAGAATAACAAAAACGATGTTCTGCAATATTTACATCATAGATAAGATATTGTATCTTTTCAGCATTTCGATGTTCACGATTTTCCGTAGAGAATAGGTCTATATAATAATAATACTCTTTTGCCACAAACTATCCTGCCTAGCTGTGGTACAAATAAACGTCATTTTTCTGTGGTTCTGAAATTGCTCATATTTTGTTTTGTTCTGAATTACATCATGTATTTTCGTTTTGTTTTGTTGTGTTGTTTTTGTTGTTGTTGTTGTTGTTGTTGTTGTTGTTGTTGTTGTTGTTGTTGTTGTTGTTGTTGTTGTTTTTTCAATCAAGGAAATGAGCTTCCTCCTCTCAAGTACTCGGGGTGAGGAGGTGTTCGATTCCTGTTCTCAGGCTTTTGAAATCGAGGGGGGGGGGGGTCTGAAAATTGAAGTAATTGAAGTTACGACTACCTGTTCATTTATCATGGGGAGTTTTGTCTCTAAGATGGCTGGGTTAAATCAGTGTTACTGGTGGATTGTCTTCCAGTTTCTTATATTTTGATTATTGGGCAAGATTACTTTGTGGCGTCGGTAGCCTCGCCGTTATGTTTTCGGGCTCGTAATCGTGAGATTGTGGTTTGGGGGGTTCGAGTTTCAGCTTGGTCCGACGTTGTGACTTTATGAAAAGCACTTTACAAGAATTTCCCGTCTGGCTCGGTCCTTTTGGAGGTGGGCGTTAAACTCGGAGGTCCCGCCTCTTACTTAGTGTTGATAGGGGCGTCAAACCTTCGGCTACACCATCTCACCATTAATTTTCAAGATTACTTTTTCTGTTCCATCCTCGGTTTTTGGTGACGGATCATCGTAGATGATATCACTTATAGACATTTTTCAAAGCACTTTCGCATGAGGCTCTCATTTCTGCCTTGATAAATCTATAAGTAACTTTAACGCTTCTGTCAGGAACGTTGACAAATAATGTAAGGAGCTTTGATAAATCTATCCGAAACTTTGACAAATGTCAGAAACTTTGACAAATATGTCAGGAACTATGACAAATCTGCCAGGAACTTTAATACATGTATCAGAAAATCCGAGAGTGAAACTCGACCTGGATGAAACGCATGGCCAATCCGCCATCTTAGAATTACACATCTATATCAGCTCAGTACCTAGTTTGGAGAAATTTGACGTCAAAAATGTTGAGTTTCACAACCTGTCAAGCGTTTTCGGATGCTATTCTTGATAATGACTCCAAATAATCTTATGATTTTGATAGAGCAGATAGAACATATGTTGGTTTCTGACCTTGTGGTCTTAGTAACTCAAAAAAGCCAAAAATGTCAGGTAGAACTTTGTAATTCTAAGGTAATGAGTTAGTGTCCCTATCACTATCATCAGCATGGCGATCTGAACAGATTGCTAGCACACCACAGAATTCTACAATTACAAACTGGACAGCAAATGTTCCACTTTTCACTCGTTTGTAAAAGCCGCTCTTGCTTTAAAAGCTATAGGTCTACTTCTGAGAACAATAAATCTTGCCCTCAAGACGCCATTGTTTTCGGTCTTCAATTCCTCACAGGTCACGTGGTACAGTGCCCGTTTTATAAGTGTAGAATTCTGTGTAGCAAACACACTAGTGGTTTGGCAAGCAAGAACAAATAGCAAAGAAAATTAAGAGCAAAACTAAAGCTATATTACTTAAGAACTTCATTGAGGTCAAAGCCAAGGATATTGACAACATTCTTGATGTATTAAACTAAGACTAGTAAGAGATATTGCCGTTGCACTTGTTGCTGTTTGTCTACTTGTCTTATAAGGCCAGTTAGTACGGGGAAAAGTAAGGTAGACAGACAGAAACAAAAGAAGGAAAGAGAAAAAATAGGGCCTATCTGTGGCGTCCTCCAACCACCCACCCATCGACGCAATAACGACCACTTTGAGAAAGATTGACACAAAAAAAGGGAGAACAGTAGTAGTCAAAAAGTAGGGCCTGCCAGTGGCGCCCTCCAACTAACCACAACTTGTTTCTTTGAATGTAAACAGACACTCTGTTGTTATTTCGACCTCAGGACCATGACTGTTTTCATACCTCCAAGTGTTATGAGGAGACTTAGAAAAAACAACTTAAATCGTATAC